AAGGGTAATCCATGGGGAGTGAAACAGTCCAATATCCCCACACAATTTAGCAAAACTTGGGGGGAAAAATTAAATTTGAGACGACAACGGTCCACCAAAAAAAAACCCCCGCACACCGACCACCGTGTATGAAAAAATTTGACATGAGAGTAAAAATGAAAATTAGGGTGCTCCCCTCTTCTACTTTCACTTTCATTTGTCAACTTGTTGTTTCTCATATTTACTCTTATGTCGAATTTTTCATATACGGTGGTCGGTGTGCGTGTGTTTGTTTTGGTGGACCGTTGTCGTCTCAAATTAATGTTTTCACCCAAGTTTTGCTAATTGTGTGGGGGTATTTGGGCTGTTTCACTCTCCATGGATTACCTTTGGGCCCCATCATGCGTTTCCACACCCGCGGGACTTTTGTTTTTGGGGTTGCCACAAAAAACTTGATGGAATGTTGTGAAGTTTCCCAGTGGCCTAGCCATCAACACAAACTTCGAAGTGCAGTGTATTTTGTTGTCTCCTGAACGTGACAAAAGACAAACTGCAAGAATAGGTTAAAGATTTAGTTCTCACACTTGACCAAGCCACTGAGTGCTTTTAAGTTCTATTTTTATTAAGCAAGCAGAGCTCTTACAATCAAAGCAGTGCAGAGTGAAGGCATCTTCTGGAGACATCATGCAGAAAGCAAAACAGAACATGCTCAGCTAAGGCAGGATGCACTCTTCCATAGTGCAGCAGCAAGCTCTTCATCAGCGACATAGCAGGTCAGTTGGCTTCAAGCAGTGCGCAGTCAGCGCCCCAGACCAACATTTCGCAGGCAACATGGGGCAGGCATTGGTCAAGTGCCGGGCAACTATGCGCAACTACGGGCAACTGCCGGGCAATAGGGCAACTGCCGAGCAACTCGGGGCAACTGCCGGGGAACCACCGGGAAATCCGAGCAACTGCCCGGGGAACTACGGGCAACCACCGGGCAACTGCCGGGCAACTGCCGGGCAACTGTGCGCCCGAGCACAGCTCGCGGGCAACTAAAGGAAGATGTCGGAAAACATCAGTTAGGTCTGTTTTGACACTCCTTTTTAAAGGCGTAGCAAAAACATGCTAAAATCGACCTATTTTATTCTGCAGATCAGCCATTTCGAGTCTAAACCTATGACATATGGGTATCTTGCTTTTCATCTCGTCGAGATGAATCCATTTCCGACATCAGTTTTTCATTTCCTCATATTTGATTTTATAAACTTAGATAACACATAAACTTAGATTCGAAATTATCAAGGATTTGAGCTTCGAACATGCCAAAGTTTTGTATAGGTGCGGGACACACTCTCAGCCTTTTCCTGACTATGACGGGGCCCCAAGACCCGAAGAATGCCTTCGGGCTGGTCCAACGAATCGGAGAGGGGAAGTGTGTGTGTGGGGGGGGGGGGGGGGGGGGGAATTCGCGGAGGCCTGGGGAGTCCGAGGCGGGTAGCGGTCGGGTTCCTGCAGGGTTTTATGATACTCTTTTCAGATCCCCTCAAACATCGTAGACCGGTATTTTTAGCAGATGATACCTTTACTATTTAAAACATACTTAGAACAAACAAGTCATTTAAAAGGTGTCAGCTAGCTTTTACTCGAGAGTGGGACAGTGAGTGCTTGATGCACGGTCAACAATGTGCGCGAAACATCGATAACTCCCCCCTCCCCCGGGTACAGCGCCAGCGGCACCGGGCGTAAACAATGGCACCGTCTCCTCGGCTCGACCCCCCGCGGCAAGGACCAACATCGACACTCACCCCCCAAACAAAATGTTCAACCCCTTTTTTAAATTTTATATATAATCACAAACATGCGAGCATACTGCCAAAACTATAGGACACACGACAGTACCAGACGAGTTTCATCTGCTTCCATGAACGTTTCTTGAATGGAGATTTTTAGTACTATTGACAGAAAAGAGGTGAAAAATCAAATATGTGGAAATGAAAAACTGATGTCGCAAATGGATTCGTCTCAACGAGATGAAAAGCAAGATACCCATATGTCATAGGTTTAGACTCGAAATGGCTGATCTGCAGAATAAAATAGGTCGAGTTTTGTATGTTTTTGCTACGCCTTTAAAAAGGGGTGTCAAAACCGACCTATTGAACTGATGTTTTCCGATATCTTCCTTCAGTTGCCCGCGAGCCGTGCTCGGGCGCACAGTTGCCCGGCAGTTGCCGGCAGTTGCCCGGCAGTTGCCCGGTGGTTGCCCGGCAGTTGCTCGGAGTTGCTCGGAGTTGCCCGGTGGTTGCCCGGCAGTTGCCCCGAGTTGCTCGGCAGTTGCCCGTAGTTGCCCGGCAGTTGCCCGTAGTTGCCCGGCAGTTGCGCATAGTTGCCCGGTACTTGACCAATGCCTGCCCGATGTTGCCTGCGAAAAGTTGGTCTGGGGCGGTAGGCAAACAATTTAACTCGGGTCAAAGCAACTGGGCATGGACATTGGAGTACCTGGAACATGTTTCAGCAGATATCAGATTCAGTTTTAAAGAATTATTTTTTTTTTAGTGAACTAAAATATTTTATTATGAATTTTTGATCTGCTCAGTTCTGTCGTTAGTGAATGAGTTGTCATTTTAAACAGGTATCTCGTTTTTTAACGACAAAATAGCTGTTATTTTTGAAACGGTAGAAAATTTTTTTGGAACGATGTTTTAGTCGTTTTTTT